GCTCACATGTAAAGGCAGATGGACCATATGGATTTTCCAGCCCTGTATAAACCATAATGTTGTCGGCTGCACCATTAATTTTATATTCAAAATATGTCAGTATCACACATTTTTTAATTTCTTAGAATCATACAATTCCAAAAAATCTTTTAAGTATAAGCAGATTCATTTCTGGAAATAAGTCCAAACATTGCACTTTTTGCTGCTTCAGACACTTCACCATGATTTTTTTTTTTCATTCATTATTGAATGCAACCTAGCATCCAAACAACTGTATGTAACGGTAGATGTATCACGTTTAGTTTCCCACCCTCTCTTGGGTACAAGCTGAAGGTGATGAAGGATTTAATGAAATATTAAAGCACAAGCAATTTCCCTTATGAGGGCTGACTTTTCTAATTAACCTTTGCAAATTTATTCATTAGTTTAGATGGCGAAGGCGCAGAGTAACGGCCCCCTTCCGCCACTGCTTTGGTAGAATAAATATCTAATGAATTATTAGGTACTATGGAATTTGTAATTTAATTTCACTAGAAACTAATTGTTATAGTCTAATGGAACTCACGGGGAATTAATTAAAATTAATTGCAATGAGGTTACATAAATGAGGATTTTAAACAATACATTCTTTGTAATAAGGCATAATAGAAAATTCATTAATCTGTAAATGCGGAACTTTAAGTAAAAATTATACGTATGAACAAAAAACTACCTGCCATTGCAACTTTCACAAAAAATTCCACAAGATATACTTAAACAATATGGCAAAATACTACTTAATACTCCACAGGATAAACTATTGGTCTTTACTGCTGTTTAGAGTGGTGCTATTTTGTCCATGTTTTAAATAACATTTGAGTTTATTAACTATAACGTCTTTTAGTAACCTTTTCTTCTTACGTCAATAACTTCAAGGATTTCTTTGAATTTTCTAATAGAAAGTAATCCTGCCAGTCTATAATTAATAACAAGGAATTTTGTGCTGTAATTTTTTCTCTCTCATTGTAGTTCACTTGTGGTTGGCTAAGTGACAGAACTATAATTCTTTTGCTAATTCATAGAACTAAGCTCTTTATGTGAGAGAATGTTTTCCTATTACTATTCTGGTATCATGTCATCATAAAGATCATTAATGTACACGCTATATTGATTTGATATTTAACAAGCAGTCAACAATGTAATGTAGGTACATTTAAATTATAATGTTGTTATTTTCTGGATACATCTACATAGGTTAGATGTCCAAAATAAATTATTTTTATAAAAAATCTTCCTATGAAGCACGATTATTGTTTACACCCATTGCAAACTATTCACTGTCCAAAGTATGGAAAAAGTCCACTTGTAAACGTGATTTTATATTAACTGAGTGATTTTCAAGGAAATCGCGATAGATTCTTAGAATAAGATACAGTAGGTCGGATTCTAAAAAGTACCTATAGAAACCGTACCTTGCGAGGCTTTACACATTTCATAAGCATGGTATATAGATTTTCTAATCTCCATCCGTGTTGAATGAATTTAAGGGACATTACCTCTGTGGGTGACGAAATTTACATATTATTGTTTTTAGTAGTTATTGATAAATTTTTATATGAAATAAAAAATTATGAATAGTTGTTTAATAATTATTTTTTAAATTATTTTATCCTTATTAACATGAAGTAGTTAAAACATTTTTTTTAAGTCTTCATAGCTTTTCTTAATTTTCTTGACACTTGTTGACATTCTTTTGTCTTTTTTTCTACTTCCTATCATCATTTCGTTTTCTTGTTCATACTTTATTCCTTCACTTCGCCTATATAGTTCATTTATATATAATATTATCGTCATACCAACTATACTATATGTATTATCTTTTTTCATTATTGGTACAATTCTATTTTATTTTATTGATTTAAGTTTATTTTTTATAATTTTTATGTCATTTTTATGTTTATGTTATCTTTGCATACTTTCCGAGATACTTATTTCGTCTACCATTACGCAATTTAAGAAAATATCAGTTCATTTATTATGAAACACGTTTTTAAAAATCTTTAAACATCACCATCGTTTTTGCAGAAGATGTGAATTTTCCAGTATAAATTGAACCGATTTCTTATTATATTTCTAACAAGGTAAATATAAATATTTTTCTACTAAATTCGACCTACTCTACCTATCGCCGTATATTATATCTGCTAAAAATAGACAAGACACAACTATTGTAAAGAACGGAATTTGTGTAAACCTTTTGTTGGGGGCGCTGGAAATTTATTACGTCTACATTTTGCATGCCACTGGAAAAAATAACAAGATACGGCGCCGGAACGATAATGTATTCCCTTCTGCCAGGGCGACAGGAAAGATTTTTTTTTCAAGATATCGATTTTGACCACGTGAACGACACATTTTTCCTCCTTGTTGCATCACACCAGTGGCGCTGGAATGGAGTTTAGGACAGACTCGACCGTATACATACTTATATGTGAAAAAATAAATGGAAAAATTCAGGGAGACTGGACTAATTAGTGATCTTAAACACTCTGGCCGTCCTTCAACAAGTAGCTCAACACAACAAATCGAAGCAGTGCGTGAGAGTGTTGCTGAGAGCCCAAGAACATCAATTCGACACCGTGGTCAAGAATTGGGATACTTCAAGAAGCGTTTTACAGAGTATTCTAACAAAAGATTTGCATCTCCATGCTTACAAAGTTCAATTGACTCAAGAACTGAAGGCTACTGACCACGCAGGGCGAAGAAAGTTCGTTAAATGGAACAAACAAGTGAATGCTGATTTTTCGAACAAAGTCACCTTCAGAGATGAAGTTAATTTTCATCTTGATGGCTTCGTTCAACAAAATTGTCGCATTTGGGGTTCCGAAAATCCACGAGTGATTCTTGAGAAACAAATGCATCCGCAGCGTGTCACTGTTTGATGCGGATTTTGTCCTAGAGGCGTCATCGGACCATTCTTCTTAAAAAATGCGATTGGTCAAGCAACAATAGTTAATGGTGCTCACTATCTCGACATGATAATCCAGTTCTATGTGCCTTAAATTGCAAAATATGGATGTAGACGATATATGGTTTCAACAAGACGGGCTATATGCCATACACCGATATACTGTTCAATTACTGAAGGTAATTTCGTGGTCGTGTCATTTCCCGTTTTGGTGATCACAATGGGCCGCCCAGATCGTGATATTTAAAGCCGTTGGACTTGTTACTTTTTTAGGTCTAAAGGTGGGTACAAACTAGAAAGCACATGCGGCGAGTCAAAGTGAGAACGCATGCATATTTTAGTGTGGACCGTTGATTCGCAGCTTCTCATCGCATACGTGGCTGCTCGCGAAAGGTTGCGAACGAGAATGAAGCGAGCCGAAATCTGTCAGTTTTTGAGCACCGCTCAAAGGGAATTATACGTCGCAAGTTCACTCATGCGTTCTCAGTGTAGACGACACTATGACCACAGCAAATAAAACAATTGTTTTATATGCTGTGCTAGGACACTAGTATACATTTACGTTCGACTGAGGTGAGTCGTTATTGTATGTGTGCAATTAGGGTTGCCAGATTTATTTCATGACTGACCCGGAGAAATTCATGGCTAAAAAAAGGTCTTTAGAAAATCTGGAAATGAAATTGTTTACGAAGAGGATGAGCTCTAAAAAAAAAAGAAATATATAATCTTAAGTTCTGCAATTAGACAAATCGATGTCTAAAAAAAAAGGAATATGACTGGAGGAAATGGATTTCGAGGGTGGGTAGGGCGTTAACCCGGAGAAATGACATGTTAACCCGGAGCCCGAAGATGTACCATCAAAACCCGAAGACTCCGGGTCAAACGCGGAGATCTGGCAAGCCTATGTGCAATATGTCTGAATCACAGGAATGGTCAAATGAGCAATGTTTGCAATTAATAGATTATTATGAAGAATACCGTTTTTATGGGATCCTAAACACCCGTCTTATTATTCAAAAACTGAAAAATCCGAGGCCTGGGACGCTATAGCAGAGAAAATGGGAATGGACATGAAAACTGTATGTAAATTCGTTTATAACAAAAAATGCAGCCTGCGTTATAACAACTACTTCATCTGAAGACATCTTTAGGACGAATTAATGAAGCACAGTGAGAAACATCGCATGCGTTTGAGGAAAAGTGTCACCATAATCATTGAAGAGCGATAACGCATGTATATGCGTGTGGTCTCGCTTTGACTCTTCGTATGTGCTTTCTAGTTTGTACCCACCTTAAGGTTTATGCTAATAAGCCCACTAACACGCATGCCTGAAGGAGAAAATTAAGCACTGCAACAACGAAATTCAGCCGTATTTATGCAAAAGGGTCAAGAAAAGTTTCGACAAGAGTGTATATGTATGTGCCAGCAACTCAGTGGAGACCATTTACCCGATATAACCCTATACTGCAAGGGTCGGCAACTGGCGGACCGCGGTCCAGGTCCGGACCGCAGAAGGTAAAATACCGGACCGCCAAAAATTTTTTGAAAGTATAAATACTCAAATAAATTATTTAAAAAATGTTTTTTTACGTTTGAGTGCCAACCTTATCATTTTTTCTAGTATTTTACAATTGTGTGAGTGTTTTGAGTTCTTAATGGTTAGTAAGCAGATTAAATTTGAGTTCAAATGAAAATTTGTAAAAAATATGAATTTTTTTTTGGACCTCGTTACAAATTTTTAAAAGTATCCGGACCCCACCTAAAATTACTTGCCGACCCCTGCTATACTGTATACTTAATAATCAATAAAAAATGTACAATTTTTAATTAAAAACCTTAATTTCTCCTGTTTTCTATAACAGCAATACATTAGCTTTTATTGTTTTATTAGGAGAAAAGTCCTAAAGACAACATGAAAATTAAACAAAAATAACATCTTATTTAAGTATATCAAAGTATTTAAAACGCGAAGTACAAATTTATATATTTTATTTTATGTACCAATAAAAATTATTATATGGCGCCCATGTAATCGGCAAAATTTTGTTTCAGGGGCATCGTGGCTCCAGTAGCCCAATCGCCGGATCAGCCATTCGGGTCGATTAGATCTCTGGCTGCGGGCCGGGAAGTGGCTAGCTTCCCTCTATCCAGGACGCCCACGCCACCCCCTTCGACATTCGAGAGGTTGGTATCTATTCATTCATCTCGTCCCTCCTATTCACTGTCTTCCTGTGCGAGTCTTCTGACGGTCAGAAGCCTGTCAACTACGCAACTTAGCCTTGTGAAAGATTTCATTCGGCTTCATTCTATTCAGGGCCATGCCATACATAATCAAAACTGACTATGTAAAATCCATTCACGATGCTGTGACGTGTTATGCTTAGGCGGTGGTTACATTGGATGCCAATTCGTACGAAAATCTGGTTGTACAAAATGTCAAATTAAAATAACAGTTATTTACTGTGAGCGTTTATAATATAGTCCAGGCGTTAGAGCAGTAAAAGTAGGCTTTCGCGTTTGTGTTCGAAGTCTATTTTGTTGTACAGAAAAATCCCAAATATTATGTAGAATAAGAATCGGAGTTTGCCTATTCTAAAAGGACGAAAAATTACCCGTTTTTCGACATATTTTTCCCTGTGACATTGAAAGTAAGCCCTAAATAAAAAAAAAAACATTCTATAGTTTTTGTTTATTTGACGATTTTCTATCAATAAAAAAAAATGAATTTTGCATTAACGACGTAGTTTTGATGTGTTCAAGGTTTTGTCGATTGAATAGAAAATTCCCTGGGCAATAAATAATTGTTTATAGAGTAAAATGTTGAAAAATTAAAAAAAAATCTAAATGGTTATAAAAGTGTAGAAATAGGTATTTTTATTATTGATCATGGTTTATTATGACAACAAGTATCTCTAAAAAATTGTGTGCCCTTTCTAAACCTTAATTTAAACCCATGGTAAGCGATAAACTTAGTGACATGAAATTTTCTTAATTTTCTTAATCTTCTTAATCTTGTCAATCAAAAACCACGCAATCGATCGCTGAAAAATTTTTATGGTAGAATTGACATGTATTACTATTTGTTCACAAAGTTTCATCAATATTTATAAATATTTACTTATTTTTCACGCATTGTTAATGCAAAATTCAAATTTTCTTATTCGCAGTTCTTGTAACCTTATAGAAAATCGTCAACAAATAATAAAGAATGAGTTTTTTTATTTAGGACTTACTTTCAATTTTACAGGGAACAATATGTCGAAAAACGGGTTATTTTTCGTTTTTTTTTTTTGTATATTTGTTCTCCTCGATTTAGCAATGGTTTTTTGGAATAGGCAAACTTAAATTCTTATTCTACATAATATTTGGGATTTTTCTGTACAACAAAATAGATGACTTCAAATACAAACGCTTCTAATGCTCTATCGCCTGGACTAATACAGTATTAAACAATTTGGATTGATTTTACTTTAAATTTTAACAACAAAGTGTAATCACTCTATTCGTATGAATAATTATTTGTTAAGTATTTGTATGATTTCGTAGGTATGGTCTTTCCGAAGTAAGTTAACATGTAAAAACACGCTTGGCAAAAAAATTTAATGACTCATAGGCGTCCCTAAAAAAGTTTTCTGCTAAAGGTAAAAAATTATAATAATTTGTATATAATGTGTAGAAAATTTCGTTCTATGTTCATTTGACCAACAACATATTTTAATTATTTATGTCAAACAATTTTATTATATTGATGGTAAATTTCGTTTTGTTTTGTTTCAAAAGGTCTTCAAAATGCCATGTTGTAATAATATTAGTAAACAAAATGTCCCTCTTAGTTCTTCCTTTCACAATTGTAATTTGAATGATTAAGATGGTGCATATAATAAATTAAAATTATCTGAATCACATCAAATTCCTCATTGCTGCACTGCACTGCCAGGCGACTTGTCAACAACTGAAATTTATGACGCAGTTGACCAGAGCAACTGTGGGTGAACGCTGTTTGCCCTCACGCGCATTCTTCAACTGGGCGTATACATTTTTACCCCCTGCACGTTTAGTTCGACCAGACCTGTATATGGGTATGGCTAAATAAATATGGGAACAAGTTTTTCAAATATTTCAATGCCGAGTTGCTGCGTAGCGACCGAGCCTGATACATACTGTCAAGTTCTTGGTTCTTCAACTGAAATCGGAAAGACTATACTAATAAATTTTCATGCAACTGCATCCAATGTAATCGACGTTTTTTATTATTTAAGATTAATTAATCTCTTTTTACTAGGTTTAACTTAATGTCTTGCTTACTTTATATTATTTTATATAGAATCTCAAACTTATGTAAACTTTGGTGCGGAAATGCGCCAGTTTATAAGACACCTAGGAACAGCCATTTGTGTGGCAAAGTACAATAGCTCTGCTATTATTCAAGATACCAAAAATATTCAGATTAAACTTGAACTACTGTATTTTAAAATCATTTTCAAATATATAGGGTGACATATGAAAACATGGCTGTTAAGAAGATAGTTGTTTTTTTAAGTGAAACACTATAGTATTTTAGTTTTGAATTCTAGATATGGTGATTTAATCAGTTTTTCATTGTCGCGACATTGGTCAATTCCTTAAATTCTGCTTGACACATCTGTTCAAATTTGTAACAATTTTCAAATGGTAATAGGTACGACAATAAAATTAGATAGTTTAAATGACCAAAGTTAGCTAGTCACTCCAGACATTTGAGTCTTTGATCTCATGTTATACACTGTTTATAAGATGAATTGTTGTATTCTGTATTTTGTTTTAAAAGTTGCATATTTCTTTTTTTAAAAATATAACAGTTTTAAGTTGACGATCAATTAAAACCAGAGATGGCTATTCGTAGTGTTTTTCTTTAAAGAATATAAATTTTTCCATAACGAGAACATTGCGTAATATGTTACTTAATACACTATACTTATCACGTAAAATTCATAATTCCGATTTATGTCTCTCATGAGTAAACAGTTTTTTGCATTTATTTAGAACTACTCTCTGATGTGGTCTTGTCTGATTTAGAATGAACACTTTTCATATATCTTGTTTCAACAAAATGTACAGAGATGTATTTTATCCAAATATTCTTTTATTTCAGAAGTCCAAATCTAGTCCAGGTTCCAGACGAAGAGAGATTAGTCGACACCAACTTTGAGCCAGCTCCAGTGCACCGAAATGGACCCAGGAAATCAGTATCTATAGTATTACCCACTGAGGAGAAGGGATGACCAGTAGATCTTTAGTTAAAAAACATACTGAACCAAAATCACATTATTTTTAGTGAAAGAAACACTCAATCTTTTCAAGACAAGAATATTTACTATTTGCATAAAAAAGACTTAGATATTGTTATATACTACTGTAGCAACTGCATATTATTTTTATCAGTAAGTTTTCAGATATTTATGTAATAAATATAAACAATGTTTAGCTATAGTTTAAATATACAGTAGTTGATTTTTAAGGTAATTTTAGACTGAATACTCAACTCTCGTGAGTAATTGAATAATCACTAATCAGTAAGTAAGCTTGGTACTCAGATTACATCACTGTGAATAGAGTAGCTAGTTCGGTTAGAGATTACTTATTCCTTTTTACTTGGCTTAAAAGGAGAAAATCGAACGATGATTCAGAATGACTTTTAGTTCATTTTTGTGACTTTAAAAGTAATTCTAAACTGTATTTAATTGTAGTTCCCAAGTAAATAAAACCCTTTTTTAAAAAATATTAAACTATCAATGAAATGAATTAGTCATTAAATATTTTTTTAAGATGTTATATAAATTTAATATTTACATTATATATTGTATTATACAACATTACCAATATTTAATAATTGGTTACAAAAGCATTGATATGTTAAAATTCCTGTCAATAATTAGGTGGTACAATGTTCTTAAATCTCAACAATAAAGAAATGTTGCTATTCAATGTTTCTAATTTTTAAAGTTTCAAAAATAGAATCCTGTTTTTTGAATTACATAACTTTGCTTAGAGTGATGATGAGAATTTTCAAGGGTTTTAGGATTTACAAATTTCTTGCTAATATTTAGAATGAAAAGAGATATTTTTACTTTTTAGAATGAGGTCACTCACATCAGTCTTCAAAACGTTTGGATGATTATCTCGCCCAATATTGTTGACATTATATTGGCCGTGGAAATTTTAGCACTCTTCTAGGACAATGTTATTCTTACTTTGTTGTCATTGTTTTTCTTAAGTATTCTGAATCATACTTATGTAAGATGTTATCATGAACATCAGTGATATTATAATTTATTTCCCAAACTATGTACAAAGTCAGACATATATTAATAGTTTATATTGTTAATTTGGAAATGTTTTTTTCTTATTGATTTAACAGGATTGAATTAAAGTATTAGGCACTGAAGGTCTAAGAAAGCTGTAAGGAAAAGGTGGAGAAAGTTGGTTTGTAATAATTTCGTAGTAAATTCAAAACATAATTGGTTTTAATAAAAATTTAATAAAAAAAAATAATGATATTTCGTCAATTTTTCTTATATTTATTACAACAGGAGTGAAATCTTTACGTTTGGATATTGTAAGCTTTTTTGTACATAAGACTGAATTATTCGAGCAAAGCGGTAGATTAACATATCACGTTAAATTTAAATAAGGAAAAAATATTTCATGTTAAGTACTTATAGGTTTAAATTTAGAGTAATTTTCATTTACACAATAGTAGCTCTACTTTTTTATGTTGCAATAAAGGAATGTAATTTCTTTTTATTTTTATTGTCCGTCCCCATGTGCCAAACATTTGTACAATGGTGTTAATTGGCAATCAAAATTATTTAGTAGCATGTAATTGTACGTTTTACCATAGTCCATGTTTTATTTTATTGTAAATAATTAATTGTAGATGTAGCGCAACTGCATTTTTTTTTTACTTGTAATTATGAATATGACGTGATATGTATTAGAATTTATCAATTTATATGTTGAGGCTGATTACATTTTAAGATAATTAGATTAGGTTGAATTGTTTTTACTCAACATATCTTAAGACAGTGTTACTCAAATAATGGCTCTATCACTTGCTCATTACATATGATACCCTAGTAATTAATTTTATTTACTTTATAATAAATATTTTAATGTCATTGTCTTAATAAATAGTTTAAAAATTCATCTCACCAGTTTTTATTTGTTTACTTTTGTTGCAAATAGTTATGACAACCATGGAACAGTTCAAATCCAGCAACTCAAAACTGCAAATTGAAGTTGATAATTCACATTAACCAAAAAATTTGTCTTAAAGTTGAAATAGTTGTAGTAGTCATAGCATATAGTATTTAAATTTGAATTTTATATAAACATTTCATTTTTCAAACTTCATATATTAATGTAATTTTGAAAAAAAATAAAAACTGAAAAATGAGAAAACATCTCTTTACATCTATCATTTTTCATAAAAGCAGTATATACTTTTTGTAAATATGTGTATGTTCAACCCTTTTCGAGTTCTCAAGGTCTGCCAACAGTATTTTAATTTTTTAACTTCGTTTTCAATCGAAATGGTCTGCCACCAGTATTTTAATTTTTTAACTTCGCTATCAATCGAACTTTCATCACTAAAGTTGTCGATAAAAGCCAAGAAATCGTTCAGTTTCATTCTTCATTAGAAAAATATAACCGCTTTAATTTTCACAAGCCGTCACTGGTCAAAAGTTAATTAACAAATATAAATAACTAGCGGCCCGTCCGGGCTTCGCACGGGTGGACATTTATTTTAAACATTTTGGGATATAAAAAATATAGCCTATGTTACTCAGGGATAATGTAGCATTCTAATGGTGAAGGAATTATCGAAATCCGTCCAGTAGTTTTTGAGTTTATTCGCAACAAACATACATACATACAAAAATACAAATCTTTCCTCTTTATAATATTGGTACAGAAGTATAGACTTTAAATAAGTTGAACTTAAAATACGATTTACAAAGTACGGTCCTGGCTTATTCGCAAAATTTAGATTTTATGCAAACTTACTTGCGCCTCCGTATTCGGGTTGCATATGCAATTGAAGGCTGGCGAATATTACAGGAATCTTTCCCAAGTTCTTCTCTCTGATCTAAATGTCAAAGTTAATAATGCCAACAGAAAATAATAAAATCACAAGAAAAAATGACAAACATGGAAAAGTGCTATGGCTGTTTTACACGACTTTGACAGATCAAATACAAGTAGAAAAACATTGAATGGAAGTACGGTATCTTTGTCTCATGCAGGTAATTATAGCGACACAATGTCGACAGACAGTGAAGACATGGACATTCAACAAGAACTCAAAAACATAAAAAATGTAATTAGTTTGACCCGTGCTAATATTGATGCCCTAAATGCCAAGTTTGCCGACTTTCAACATCCTCCTGCTATGTATTTAAAAGAATATGAAGATCTAACATCAAAATTACATGAATTAGAAGCTGAGGAAAGGAGGTTAATGGAGCAACTCAGTAATGGTAGAGAAAGCCCTGAAGATTTAAGTGAACATTACTATCCTGCACACTATGAAACTAGTAAACCATTATATGACACGTTAACAAGGCCTAAGTTTTTGAGAGCTCACTTGCCTAACCAGCAACGAACCAGCGTTCAAGTACGTGAAGGTCTCACGTTACGGGAAGCCTTAGCTAAAGCAATGAAATTAAGAAATCTTGTGTGTGAGATGTGCTGTGTTTATCTTGGAGACTCAAAGATCCCAGTGAATTGGGATGTGGATATTAGTACATTGAACTGTGAAGAAATTACTGTTAAAATATTAGATAAATTTCCTATTCCAACAAGTATTTCCCACAATTTTGTGCGTAAGACATTTTTCTCTTTAGTGTTTTGTGAATGTTGCCGGAGACTTTTGTTTCAAGGATTTTATTGTCGGACTTGTGGATACAAATTTCATCAAAGATGTGCTGCAGGAGTCCCATCATTATGTCACCAAGTATGTATCTCTATTAATTAATGTTACCAGTAAATTACTGTTTTTTTTTTACCATTTAATATATTATTTTGCTCTACTGTTACATTAAGATCAGTTAGTGGAAATAGGTAGATACGTCTAAAAATAACCAGTTACAATTAATAAGTTTTTTTGATACAATGAAGAGTAAATAGATAAGATGTGCCTCTTATCATTATTTGATTAAAATATTTAATATTCTCTCTTTTTCTTAACCTCCTAAATTTTTTCATGTTTTTCCATTTTGAGCAGATCGGATCTCTGTTGTTTTACTTTATAAAAACACTGAAAAATAAGGATATTATATTTAAAAGAAAACTGTATTTTAACCTCAAATAATTCATTATTATTATTTCATTTAATTTTTCAAACTCGATACTTAATGCTGTAAGAAACTTTAAGAAAAATTCACATTTTGTAAAAAATTAGATAATACCTGTAATCCATCAGTTGCTAATAAAATAAAACATTTTGAAAATATACACGCAACCTTTTTCAAGATTTTTTAACTTTTTATTTCACAGATTCATTCAAAATGTTTTCATCTCAAAAGTTCTCCATGTGAGCATAGAAGTCATCCCCTAAAAACTATATCGTTTTCATCTCATATCAAAATATGAACAATTTAATTTTCACCTGCACTAGTGATAACACTCTTTTCTATGTGGGTATAAAAATGAGAAATCTTTGAAAATAAATATCTATATACCTACATTAAATCTGTAAAACATTCTTATGCATATAACATTTTCATTATAATATAATGTATTGCAAATATAAAAATCTATAAACTTATCTATAAACATATACTTGGTAATTTTCAATAACAATTTTAGAATATAGAATAAAAATGGGTATCAAAAGTAAGTATTTGAGTAATACTTTGGTATTTAGGTACTTTGACACTTTGATGTTTAAGTATTAAAACAGTACAACAATTATATTTCAGTGTACAAATTTTGGTCAGCAGTTTCCTCCTCTATACAGACTGAGAATAAAATAAATAACACTTTTTCCCTATATATTTTTTTAATGAACTGCTTCCAGAATGGTCATTTTGTAATCAATTTTTTTAGGTGAGAATGGCTGATGCCTATTATCGAGCTCTCTTGGCCAGGCCACCTGATTCCAGTGCTGGAATACTCCATGCAGGACAAGCAGAACTAGGACTGCCTCACAGGCAGTCCAGGCATCCTGGCACTCTGGGCCATCATGACAGATCAAGCTCAGCTCCAAATGTTTGCTTAAATAATGTCAAAGGTTCTGGAGATGACTGTCCTAGGTCTTTATCACTAAATAGGTAATTTATCAAGATCTAACAGGTTTGGAAATGCTTCTATTTTTTTAGTTGCAAAATTGTGTTGCTTCTGCATTAGTAAGATTTTAGTTTTTGACGCTTTAGTAGGAATAAATGTTTCATAAATTTCTTATAATATTTATTACAATCCGTACAGTAAAAACAAGTACTCGAATGATTTTTAACAAGGTTTTAACTACAGTGAATCTTTGGTTACAAGTGAATGGAGGTCTCTGTAAGATGTCAATGGATGTCCGTGAATCTCTACGGATGTTTTGTGGATATCCGGTGTGCTTATATTGGTCATGATTTGTTTGTGAATATTTGGAATTGATGTGTAGATACTATTTCTACCTTTTTTGATTTGACCCTTTGAAATACCTATTAACCTTGAAGATAAGATGTACTTATGTTGTTTTTTTATATTAATCAATCATTTTACATACACTAAGCCAAAGAGATTAAATGTAAATATCCTACTGATTAAATGAACACAACAGATTAAAAAAGTATAGCACTTAAAATAATTTTTACCAAGTACCAATTGCTATTTAAATTTGATATAAAAAATAAGATATTTTTATTTTCATTCGTGTTGTTTACGTCTATAGTTATGTATATAGTACTCAATAATGAATGGAATAATTTGTGGAAAGTTTTCCATAAACTATATTTCACATCAAAATTAATGCAGGAGTTAATGCACTATTAAAAATGGGTTGATTGGTGAATGTTGATTTTTTCGTGAATGACTAATCTGATTTTGGTGGTCTTTCTTTTGAGATATGGATTAATAGATACCTAATTTTTTGTTATGTAAATATGAGTTTTCAGTTATATGTGGTACAAATATGTTTTTTCTCGAAATTTCAAATCATCTATAATGTACGCCAGCTGAAATTAGTTATGAATAATAATTTTTTCTATCATATCAATAATTGTTTACATAGTTAAATTAAAATTCACCAGTTTATTGGAAACATTTAAAAACTTAAAATATAATAGTAATAATACTGATAGCAATAATAGTTTGATATTTGTGTAAAGTCAGTGGCATCACTAAAGAACTGTGATAAATGTGTTAAAATAAAATTATTAACACCTCATTTTGATGCAAGTGAAGGATGGCGTTTAGTATATATCTATCATTAAAATGTCTTCTGCAGTGCTGTCTCTCAACTTTTATCAGTAAAAAAAACATATTTTGCATTAGAAAGCCTATTAAAACATGCCCTATTTTATATTCTTCATATTTCTAGTTTCCCCTATAGTTATTCACAGTTTTTTTCATTCTTAAGTCTGACTGCATATTTTTTCCAGTTTCTTCTTTTATGCTATACAGTGTAGGAAAGTACCGATGGTCTATCAGAAGTTACGTGAGAACGATAAAGTAAGCCATAGAAATCCATGTGATAGACAAGGATGGCTGTAATGAAGGCGTCTAATAGTCAACGCCCATTTGGCCCTTCCACAAATAAGATCCATTTCTTATTTGTGGAAGGGCGAAACGGGCAGTGACTATGAGAGGCCTTCATTATAGCCATCCTTCTCTATCGCATGGATTTCTATGGCTTACTTTATCGCTCTCACGTAACTTCAGACAGACCATTGGTACTTTCCTACCCTGTACATATATAATCAAGAGAGTCACCACTTAGGTACATAGTTCCGCCAAAATAATTGAATCAGAATATTACATTCACTGAACATGAAAATTAGTCCAATTCCACTTATTGATGTTCTAGACATTAAAATTCTTTAGATGTGGCAGCCTCTATGAATACCTAAGGCATTAAAGACACTAAATGTGTAATTTGGTAATTATTAAGTATTAAAAAATTGATGTCCCATGTACAATGTAGTCTTCTACATTTTTCTATTATTTCTGAGAAAAACTGGAGTATTTTTGAAATTGAATATTTTTGTACACAAATTTTGATCAGTGGTTTCCCAAAATATTTAATCTGGTTTTTAGTATGAGTCATCGATATACGGCCATTATTAAAAGTATTGATTGATTTTCTTCTTTGTTTTTGATTATGTATAGGTTTTTACCGAAGTTTTTACATTTACAATAATAAACAATAAACTGGCATACTTTAACTGAATGTCTCAATAATTAATAACAGACATAATGATATAAATTAAAAATTGGCCGGAAAAGTTTGATTTAAGTAAACAATTTCTATTTTGGTTGTAGATATTTAAAATTTCGAAGAAAAAAACTTATTCTCTCTTTGCACCCTGTTTTGAAAATTGGAATTTTAATAACAGTTTCTATCTTAGTGTTGGTATCAAAGAATAAACCTGTAATTAAAAAAAAGTTTATCGTGTGCAAAAAATCATTGTTGGAGCCCATTTTTAGTGGTACCTAAATTTTAATGTGAAGCCTTTTTTATTATAGATTTGCATTACATAGATAAAGTAATAGTAACGTTTTCAAATATGGATATCAAATTTTAACTTACTATGCAATGTAATGATTACTTTATCAATTTCCAGGGGAGTAGACGGCGATTGTTCTCCACATTGCAGAAGCACACAAGCCTCTCCCACAGGATCTTTACAACCTCGAAGACCAAGGGCTCGGTCTGCGGACGAAAGTAAACCGCTATTAGCTCCTAGAGAGAGTATAGAGGATTGGGAGATACCTGCCGATGAAATTTTAGTTGGGGCCAGGGTAGGATCTGGATCATTCGGAACAGTCTACAAAGCCCACTGGCATGGCCCCGTAGCCGTAAAAACATTGAACGTTAAAATACCAACGGTTGCACAACTTCAAGCTTTCAAAAATGAAGTAGCAGTTCTACGCAAGACTAGACACGTTAACATTCTCTTATTCATGGGATGCGTCAGCAAGCCGCAACTGGCGATCGTAACGCAATGGTGCGAGAGTTCCAGCCTTTACAAGCACTTGCATGTCCTCGAAACTAAGTTTCAACTGTTTACGCTTATCGAGATTGGTCGGCAGACTGCGCAAGGTATGGACTATTTGCACGCTAAGAATATAATCCATCGCGACTTGAAATCCAACAATATTTTCCTACACGATGACCTTACTGTAAAAATAGGTGATTTTGGTCTGGCTACTGCGAAGACGAGGTGGTCGGGATCCCAGCAGTTCCATCAGCCGACAGGTTCGATCCTGTGGATGGCTCCTGAAGTTATCAGAATGCAGGAGGACAATCCGTACAGTTTCCAGTCAGACGTATACGCTTTCGGGATAGTTATGTTTGAAATGTTAGCGGGACAGTTGCCTTATTCTCACGTTAATAATAAGGATCAAATTTTATTTATGGTCGGAAGAGGTTATCTGAAGCCGGACTTGACAAAGCTGAGGTCGGACACACCGAAGGCTTTGAGGCGATTAACTGAAGACTGCATAAAGTTTAATAGGGACGAAAGGCCATTATTCAGACAAATCCATGCATCACTAGAAGGCTTCTTGAGGAATCATCCGAAAATCAGTAGATCCGCTTCAGAGCCCAACATGAATCGAACACAATTACAATCTGACGATTTTATTTATACTTGTTCAAGTCCTAAAACTCCAGTCAATTTTGGACCAAGCAATTTTCTGTTTTATTCTTCTGGCACTGGTAATATTTAAGTGCCTGTTAGGTTCGGTAAGCACAACAGATCTCAAAATGTCAATATTTTAATATTTTAACAGTTAGATCTAAAATAGTTTACTCTGTTGTAGGTTTGAATTTCTCTTTTGTATTCCGAGAACGATTTTGTTATTTATGATTATATAAATTGATAACAATAAATAAAAAAATCCTCCTATTTATTATTATTAGATTTACATGATTATACTACATATTGACTGGTTGTGATTGTGTGTATGCATTTGACTAGAGACTGCATAAGTCTTCTTTTAAGTTATTGACTAATGTATATTTAAATTATGCAAATATTGTTTTGTTTTTACAATAAATAAATAAAAATTAGTGTCTTTTTACTGATACCGTAAAACATTTGACCAAATGTTTTTTCTCATTAATATTTATCGCCACGGTGGCATAGTCAGTCGAGAATCTGGTGACAAGCATTTCTCGGCCAGATTTCCTATTCTGGTCCGGGTTCGATCCCTGGCATTCTTTTTTCTGTTTTGTGCCTGGCATTGGCACTGGCAATGTCGATGGATATTGGATGTTTGTCTGCGTTTTTTCAAGTGTAACCCCCTTCCGCACAGCCTTTGGCTTTGAATTTGGGGGTTGTCTCATTTCTGTAGTGTTTTGTTTTTTTATTATTTAATATATTGGCAAAAATTAAACGTACAAATGAGTATACTTACTATAACTGTTAGTAAATTTACTTATACAATGCTATAACTTATTAATTCTCGTATAAATGGTTGCCTATATTACTAAATTAAGAAAAAAAAATAAATTAAAATATTTTTGTTTGACATCAGATGCGTCAACATCAAATATTAAACATACTTTCATAATTTTGCAGTAATATTACATAATTATCATAAGAGTACGCATTACCTTGACACTAAAGTATAAGCTGTGGTCTTACAAATACAAACAAACCTTATCCAGATATTTTATTTTAAACTTATGGCACCTACAGTACGCTAGGCTAAATAGTTAAGTGTTTTGGTATCTAAAAAACGAGTGAGTAGTTCAAATGTTGCGATTTCCAATTTTCAGAATGTTAAAAATGTCAATGGCATTTAAGGAATTAAGGTTATAATACAATGTCATTGGAACAATACATAAATTTATCTTTGTAAGCATACATATATGTATAAATAGAGTACAGTAAACAGTAGCTAGATCACTATACAAAAAATAAAGTAAAAGGTAAACTGCCTTGAAATTGCCTGTTAAGTATAGACTTGATTACCCTTTCAGATGATAAATACAAAATCATTAACAGAGTGTGCCTTACAGTTACATAAATCAATAAAATTTGGAAAAAGCTGTGTCAGAAATCTTTCAGTGTCTCAAACAAAAATGTCTGATATTGAAAAAAAATTTGTGTTGCCCAAACGATTCGAAGGAAGCGAGAAAAGTGTTTGGTAAGTTAGTAATTTGTTGTTAACAAATATTTATATTTGTATTTTTAGGAATGAGTATATTCAGTTGTCCCTTGAATATAAACCATTAAATTTAGGACAGGGATTTCCAGATTTTCCTCCTCCCAAATATGTAACAGATGCCTTGAGCCAAGTTGCAACTGGAGATAACTGTATGGTTCATCAATACACCAGAGGATTTGTAAGTGACCATTTTTTATATTTTAAAAATCATACCTTTTAAAAAAAATTATGTACATCTGGGTAGTATATTATGTTTGTAAAACCCTTCCAAGATATTATTGAAGATAAAAAGAAACTATTAAGTACTTATCATATTTCATTGTTTTTGTCTAAAGAAGAACATGTATAAGGATTACTGATCTTAATATACAAAAAAGTTTTTTTTAATATTACATTAAAATTTATCTTTCTCAATGTTAGTTATATTAAGTAGATAACCTTTGACTCCGATAGTATTTTCTAGGCCTTAATTTTATGGGGGTTTAGTGCATGATACAGCAATTTTAAAATAATTAATCATATGATAACAGTATTTGCATGTAGTAAAATACTTTATTGTCATATTTTGATAACTGTGTTTCATGGATTTGATTCTTAATACATAGTTATTTTCTTTTAAATAAGATGGCAGAATAAGTATTTAGGAATTTTCATGTATATTATCAATTTTTTAAGGTATTCATTTCATAATATGATTTCTCCTAGGTAGCAAAGCAAATATTGCCTACCTTGCCACAGGGAGTTTACTGGTATTTAATTAATAACAAATTTTTCTCAATTTATGTCTTTAAACTTAAACCCAAAGAATCGATATCGATACCTTTGATACACCATTAACAAGTTTAACAAATCAAAAACATGGACTTTTCTTGATATTTTTACATACACCATGTTCACCTAGTGCGCGTAAGTCCAATATCTAGGTTAATAAGAGATATAACTTAATTTTTTTCCTACAGAGTTGCCTACTTTCCCGAACTGCACAAACTGAAAATATATTTGCATATACAGGGTGTTCAGTTTTTCCTGTGCAGGTACCAACTTAATTTTTTTAAGTGGAAACCTATATTTTTTATGGCATTATCGAATTCTACATGAAAAATTAACGGGACTTTGTGTTATGATCCTTATTAAAATATTGATATTTTTTGAGATAATCGACTTTTAATTTTTTTTTCTTGTTTCGTCACTTCTAGTAGTTGACATAATTATGATTGTATGACAGCTAGAAATTTTTTTTTTTTCAGGAACTGTAGAGTGCAGATGGCTCTTTCAAAAAACGTATCAAAAGTGGACCTGCGATATACAGGGGGCAAAAAAAATCGTGCCAAACCTGATAATTTAAAATTTGAAAAATCTCGACTTTTTCAAATAGAACACCCTGTATTTTATGATTTCATTAGATGCCTTTCTGTAGACCCTACAATTTTTTAATAGCTTTCCCTATACCTAAGTTGCGTAGTTTTTGCAAAAAACCCATTTTTATGTAAAATACCGGATTTGTGCCCGTTCCTTTGGCTGCAATGTGATTATTTTATTGTTATTATACTTTTCCTATTACCCATTTATCTCTCAGGTTAGAGAACACCTAAATCACGTATATCCAAACCAGTGGTTAGGTCGTAGTGGTCCAGTTCCTTGGCCCGCACGTTCGCCTGACTTAAATACTCTGGACTTTTTCTTGTGGGGTTATATCAAAGAGCATGTATACGAAGTACCACCAATGGATATTCAAGACTTAAAAAAAAAATATTAAAAACTAGTTTCTAAATATAACGCTTCAAATGTTAAAAAATGTCCAATTCATTTTCATCGTAGATTAATGCTTTGTGTAGAAAACAACGGTGGACAGTTTGAACATTTATTTTAAGTTAGCTTGCGACTATGAGTATTCTTTTTTCAAAATTCTATTCATCCAAATTTTTTAATCTCCAATTTCACTAATAACTTTCCTAACTACGATAACAGTGCTTGATTTACAATATGATACGGATGAAACTTCTTCAATATTTTATTTGTCAAGCTTTTGAAAACTCCAAGGTTACTACTAATTTCCTGGCACTAATATTTGGATTTTCAACAGCAGACGCCACAACCTTAAACTAAATATTATCGTTGTTACTTTCATGTCTCCTGGTAGTTTTCTCATAATTCGCATTTGCTGTTCATTCAAACCGTTCCTTCACATTTTCAAAACAGTGGGAATCTTTGTAAATTTGGATTATTTGCTTTGTAAATACATGCGACTAGCAAACATTTCCCATATTTTGCTAATTTTTAATCACTTGTAGCGATTTTATGGTTTTTTGATTTTATTTACAAATAAATGGTAACTTTCCGTAGACTTATTTATTAAACTCAAATATCTAAATTTTTCAGTTATTAATTTTTATTTTAAATAGTGTAGCTAGACAACTAATAAATTTAATAAAAATAAATACCCTTGCAATATTTTTCCTGACAAAGGAACAGGCGCAAATCCGGTATTTTACATAAAAATGGGTTTTTTGCAACAACTACGCAACTTAGGTATGGGGAAAGCTATTAAAAAATTGTAGGGTCTACAGAAAGGCATCTAATGAAATCATAAAACACAGGGTGATCTATTTGAAAAAGTCGAGATTTTTCAAATTTTAAATTATCAGGTTTGGCACGTTCCCCCCCCCCCCCTGTATATCGCAGGTCAACTTTTGATACGTTTTTAAAGAGCCATCTTCACTCTACAGTTCCTGAAAAAAAAAATATTTTCTAGCTGTCATACAGTCATAATTATGTCAACTACTAGAAGTGACGAAACATAAGAAAAAAAAAATAAAAAGTCGATTATCTCGAAATCTATCAATATTTTAGAACATAGAATTCGATAATGCCATAAAAAATATAGGTTTTCATTTAAAAAAATTAAGTTGGTACCTGCCCAGGAAAAACTGAACACTCTGTATATGCAAATATATTTTCATTTTCTGTAGCTCGGGAAAGTAGGCAACTCTATAGAAAAAAAAATAATTTGTTAATATTGGTTAACTATGCCATAAATATAATTATACCGCAGCATTTTTTTTTAATATACATATTATTAGATGATAAAAATTATACATATACCTTTTTGTAGTTAGATTTCCTATAACCTGCTTGTTTCTTGTATGAAGTAAAATAAGCATGACTCAAGATTTTTTTAGGGTCATCCTAGACTTATTGCTGCTCTGGCAAAACTGTACTCTAAACTAATCGGTAGGGATATCGACCCCCAAACAGAAATATTAACCACTTTAGGGGCATATGAGGCACTGTTTTCTACCATTTCAGGGCATGTTGATTATGGGGATGAAGTTATAATAATTGAACCCTTCTTTGACTGCTATGAACCAATGGTGAAATATGCAGGTGGTGTCCCTAGATTTATTCCACTAAGATTGGTAAGTCTTATAAAAGTAAAATTTTGTTTATCTTTCGAGAAATTATACTTTTTTTCTTAGAAAGAAGAAGTATCTGGAAGATCTATTTCTTCAGCTGACTATATATTGGACAAAGATGACCTTGAACGTACATTTAATTGCAAAACTAAAGCAATTATCTTAAATACGCCAAATAATCCACTTGGTAAGGTATTCACTGAAGAAGAATTGTCTCATATAGCTGACCTGTGCAAGAAGTGGAATGTGCTGTGTATATCTGATGAAGTGTATGAATGGATAGTTTACAAGCCCCACAAACATATCAGAATTGGTGAGAAAATTTATCGCTAGATACAAATTATTTTAAAAATTATAGTAATTTTAATAATACTGCACCTAGTTTTCATTATTTTATGGTTCAAACGTAGAATGTAATTTACACAGACAGATGTCATAAATCATCTATAAATTTGTTCAGACTGTAATTTAATATGTTTTTTATACTGGGTGTCTTAATTAAGTATAATTAATTATTCTTAACCTTTAAATAGTAAATAATTGCATATTGCTGATTTCAGCAACGTTACCGGGCATGTGGGAAAGAACAATTACAATTGGATCAGCTGGTAAAACTTTCAGCGTGACTGGGTGGAAATTAGGGTGGGCCTATGGTCCAGCAAACCTTTTAGTTAATTTGCAAATAATCCATCAAAACTCTGTTTATACTGGAGTTACTCCTATTCAGGTAAATATGTACCGTACGCACCTAAAGTATGGAATAAATTCAGTAAAAACGAAACAAATTTTTTTTGGGCAAAATCCTCGAACAGGTTGATTTTTAATTTAAAAAATACATATTTTAGCATAAAAGGCGATTTTCTACCTTCATTTGTTTTCGAGTAATGACAGACATTTTTTTTAAATAGCAACCCCCTATTTTTTTTCTTGATTCTGAAAGATCGTTTCATTGTCGATCCGACAGTATTAAAATGTTGCCATCTTACATAAGAAAGTTTTCGAGTAAATGACGATTGAATGTTAGAAAACGTAAATTTTATTCTTTAAAAAAATAACAATTCCTACGTCAAGCAAATACAATTCATTAAGTTTTCTACCTAAATTAAGTATTTGAATTGCCACCCACCGACTTCTTGACAATACGCAAGTCTGTGTAGAAATTCTTCTTGCACATTATGAATTATTTCTGGGGTAACTGTGTATTTCATCTATAATACAATTTTGGAGTTCTTCTAAATTATGTGATCTATTAACGTACACTTTGGACTTTAAGTAGCCCCATAAGAAATAGTCCAGGGGTGTAAGATCTGGGGATCTCGTGGGCCATTCTATCGGTCCTCGTCTGCCGATCCACCTCCTAGGAAATCAATTGTCCAGAAAATCTCGAACAGGGCACGCATAGTGCGGAGGTACACCGTCTTGCTGAAGCCATATGGTGTCATCAGAAATATCAGGGTCATTATCGTTAGGAAAAATTACTGCAGGCGCTGGAACAAGGTCATTTTGTAAAAACTCTAAATATCTTTCTCCTGCAAGGGTTCCTTCAAAGAAGAAAGGCCCTACTATTCTGTTGTCAACTATTCCAGCCCACACATTTAATTTCTGTGGGTGTTGGGTATGTGTCTCTGCCATCCAATGAGGATTTTCCCGACTCCAATACCTGCAAGTTTGACGGTTCACTGTACCATTGAGACAAAACGTGGCCTCGTCTGAAAAAAGTATTTGCCGGTGTAAATCTCTATTTACTTGACATAAATCCATCATAATTTCACAAAAGTGTAAGCGGCGGTCGGGATCGTCTTCATTGAGTTCCTGCACAAGTTGAATTTTGTAGGGATGATATTTTTCCTGCCTCAGGATACGTAGCACTGTGGTCTGACTAATTTCATTGTTTAATGCAACCAATCGTGAAGTATTATGAGGATTATCTACCATACTTATCAAAATGTTCTGTTTGTGATCTTCACTAACGCTTGGACGTCCAGGTTTTGGAATATCTACAACATTGCCAGTTTCTCTAAATTTAGATTCTATCTTACTGACTGTTGATTGGCTGATACGGCGATCTGGATGTTTTTCATTAAATAAATCGCAAACTTCCTGCTGCGTTCTAGTCTTATCCCCGCATCCGATAAGAATTAAAATTTCAATTCTTTGTGTGACAGTTAAATGTGCCATAATACTTTAAATTCAACAATAATTTTTATATCGCTTACAATACTTAGAAAGTCGGTATGACAGTGACACTTTGTAAAGATTTACACCTACGTGATCCATAAAAAACTTCAGGCATTTCGAAAAACTAAATTTGATAACGTTTTTGCTTTATTTTAATTGATTTGGGTTTTCTAACATTCAATCGTCATTTACTCGAAAACTTTCCTATGTAAGATGGCAACATTTTAATACTGTCGGATCGACAATGAAACGATCTTTCAGAATCAAGAAAAAAAATAGGGGGTTGCTATTTAAAAAAAATGTCGATGACGTCATTACTCGAAAACAAATGACGGTTGAAAATCGCCTTTTATACCAAAATATGTATTTTTTAAATTAAAAATCGACCTGTTCGAGGATTTTTCCCAAAAAAAATTTGTTTCGTTTTTACTGAATTTATTCCATACTTTAGGCGCGTACCGTATATATATTCTATTTTTCATTGTCTCAAGAACTTTTAATTCTCATTTTTATTTTATTCTTATTATTTAATTCCTTTAATGGATGATATTTTGTTGTTTAAATTAAAATTAGTCATTTTATATTTTATTTCATTTTAGCAAGAGGACTTATTTTAGCCCCAACAGAACTACCAAATTTATTTTTAGAACAGCAATCACAACTGAACAGTATACTTTTTCATACATTTTTCTTCATAGGAATTAAAAATAAATGTTAACTGTAAACAAAAAGTTGTAATTTTTAAGTGAATTGCAAATTGTTTCCATTTTTTGTCAGGAGGCCACAGCTATTGCTTTTGAAAAAGAACTTACACGTCTAAATGATGATGAGTGTTATTTTAATTCTATATCCGTGGAGTTAGAGCCAAAGAAGAATTATATAGCCAATTTTCTGCAGGAGGCAGGAATGAAGCCGGTGATACCAGAAGGGGGTTACTTCATGATAGCCGATTGGTCTCCTCTCGGTATGTATATAGAATGTTTACAAACTTGGAAAGTATATTTGAAGAGTAAACAAATTGAGGTAGGAAAAGGTGATGCACAGAAATATTTGCAAATAATTTTTTTTTAATACCTTACTACACTGATGAGGAAAACTTTTTTGGAACTGCCGACTCCACCAATAGCTTTGCTTACAGAAAAGGGGCACACATGCCTATGACAAGTCAAAAACTAGAAAAGAATTAAGTATGTTTTTTTTCAACTTATCGCTAAATTGGAATTATCTTAAAAATCTTGGTGCTTGTACCCTAAGTTTGTCATCAAATATTCTTTAAGACATAATTTAATAGACTTAAAAAAGTTATGCAAAATTATTTTATGTGCTAGATTCAATTTCAAATATTTTAATATGGTACATATCTTTTCCTATGCAGACTGTAGACATAGGTAAAATCATGTTATTTATTCAAATTGATTCCGTGTTAAGGGCTCCCATGTTCACCGATTTAATTCTTAAATAAATTAGAAAATGGCATTTTTCAATATTTCTTCAGTATCTTTGTATTTACTTGTATATTTTATTAGAATCCAAGGTTGATTTGAATTCTGAGAAGGACAAATACCGCGATTACCGTTTTACAAAATGGATGACAAAAAATGTGGGACTTCAGGCTATACCTTCTACTGCATTTTATAGTGTCCCACATAAACCACTGGCGGAAAATTATGTAAGATACTGTTTTATTAAGGTAAGGACTCTGACCTTGAGGTGTATTTTTTTTTTAATAAAGTTTTTCAATTTCAGAAAGATGAAAATTTGAAGCAAGCCGCAGAATTATTAAGGAAATGGAAAAATGGCCAAAAATAATTTGTTATATTATAGCCTTCTTATGTGTGTAATATAAAACAATTTTATTTATCTATTTTTGGTTCTTAATTTCCATATTCATCTTTTGAATCGCTTCTAATTAAAAATAATATATATTTTAGTATATATTTAGCTGATGCTCAAAATTTATTTAAATAATTTTTCAAATTAAATTTTAAACTCCAAGAAATAAGAAATATTAAAAATGTCAATATAAATGTAGGCGATTTTTCATAAAAACTTGTAAAAGCTCCAAAAACTACATTAAAGAATGAAGACTAAAGAAGAAATATCATATCTTGATAAAGGGAGAAATATTAATTCAAAACAAATACTCCGTACTTTTGATTTGTTTTCTATTCCTAAAAAAAATGTGGTTCCATATTGACATTTTTTTTTAATTTATGTATAATTATGGTAAAGGGAATTATATTTTTTTCATCTGTTTGTCTAAACCGTAATATGTAGATAAAAAATTATGCCAGTACATTTTTCATTGATCCAAATATGTATGTTTAGATGTTTTTATCTAGATTATATGCAATTCTATATTTTAAAAATTTTTTCTTAGAAGTTTCATGGAATACAACAGCTTCAGAAAATATTTGTTTGGAAAAAAATTATGCTAGACTACCTCTATCCCGTGCTAAATTTATTTCTAAAATCTGTTTTTAGTAGAAGTTTGAAAAAAATAGGTTTGCTCTTTTCCAAAATATTTTTTTCCGTGGCACTAAAATCTCTTATTCCACAAGTAATCCCAACCTAATTTCGAATTCTTTTGATACGATTTCCTGAAATCGGAGTTCCTAGAGAGAAAGTAATTATTTTATTGTTGCTTTATTGTTTATTTATTTAGGGTGAAGTTCCACTTTTTCCTACAGAACAAACACCAGTATTATACTTTTCAAATGTATTGGCCCCTCACTTTGAATGTAAATTGAAAAGGCAAAATATTATAAAAAAAAATTTGATATTTAAACGAAACTGGGGTAGGTCTTGAGGTCCCAAATTTTTGCTGAAATTTTCAATCGAAACCACACAGCCATCTCTAATAACTCCACCCAGGGCTAATTCCGGCCAAAGTAGAGGCCCACGTCCAAGGGGGTTTCGGGAAAAAAAACTTGCAATCAAAAACGAAAAATGCGAAATTCGAACTGGGAAATAGCAATACAAAATCATACGTCATACTACAAGTCCTCACCGTTCCAACAGATTACAAGGCAAAGATGCGAAAAATCCAGAGTGGCCATTTGTCCAAACCAGACCACCAAGGTAGAGTTTACTACAGGACCTCTGCGGACTCGTCAAGGAGGGTGATCAAACGTCGACCTTAGTGCTTTGCAATTCGATAACCAGGGACAGATACCTGGTCAGTATATAGAGTACGACACAAAATTAATATTTGCATTCTTTTACAATTCAAAACATTGTTAAACACATTTTTCACACGTTTTTGCGAGCTTATATTGCTCCCAACCTAGACCTAAGTTCCATAGACCCAACCAACAACCAAAGCGTTGTCCTACGGTGAAGATCTCTCGGGATACATCAAGCCCTAGAAACTTCCATAGCCACAGGTTCTCTCAGGAGGCTTACACAGGCTCCTAGAAACTTCCAAAACCACAAGTTCTCTCAGGCAAGGCAAGTCCAGAGATAATAGATATAAAAGTACTCATACTCGAAGTGCCCATAGAACATAATTGGCACCTTCAACTAGGTTCAGCTGAAAGCCTCCAAATCTGTGCCATCCCGAGGGTGCACAATAGTTGAAAAAAACAAAATAAATAATATCCAGGAACCTATCTCGTCCGTTCGAGGACAATCGGCCAACGCGACGTCCGCACCCCTAGTCCCCTAAACGTCCATTGTGATTGGTGTGATGAGAAAATCGTCCGAAAACCCCGTTTACATTTTTGCCGCTAAGCGGGAGACGAGAGTCTCAACTCCGTAGGCAATACACCAGGAGCTTGATATGCCGGTTTCTCCCATATTAGAAGTTATTCCTGAAGTAGCAATAATGACGGTGAAAGACGATAGGGCCCAACGTGAGCTCGAATGTCCAAAACGCCAAAGGAAAATGGTGACAGATAACACGGCGCCCAACTTGGGGTATTATTGTCCGAAACGTCAAGGGAAAATGATGGAAGAGATGACAAGATGAAATTATAATGACGACTTTCAGGATATAATTTTATGTAGGTAGATAAAATAAAAACAATTTCAGTCTTCTTAAACTTGCAGTTCTTAAAACGCCGACAACAATGTTTTTTTTGTGCAACGTTCGGTCATTGTTTTTGTTTGCTTACATATTTTTGGTAGCATAATCTTCACATTAAAAAAATAGTTGTTCTCTTTACAGCGTAGTAAATTTTTTACATTATTATTTAATACTAGAGTTAACTAAAACTTATATATTCTTAAAACTTCAGCGTACTAATAAATACATTTTAAGCAGTTGTGCTAAAGATGGTTTCATCAAGACGTATCTATAGATTTTTCAAGATTACCAAATATGTACAATTAGATGTTTTTGTCTAAATTCGACTCTCCTAAATTCACTTCTAAAGGCTACATTACATGCAATAAACTAAAAACCTCTATGTCAGAACTGTTTTCTATTATATATATTTTCTAAACAGCTTTCGGTGTTGCTTTTTGCGTGAGTTATAACCAAAAAAGAACTAAAGGTAGGTAGTTATCTCGTATTTTTTAAAGCACCCCACGAAATATGACGATATTTTTACCTACCATGCTTATTCTGCTTTGTCATATTATTGATAACGTTAGAAGAACTCTTTATAACTAAATGTAACCAAAATTTGTTTTCGTTATAGGTACAGGGTGTTTTAAATTGACGTTAAAAAATTGTTGAGAAATATATACGAGAATGTGTACCTATTAAAAATGTAGAACAAAATTATCACAAACTTTAATAAATAACAAAGAATCTTTGATAAATATTTATTACTTGTGATAACTTAACTAAAATAAAGAACATTATTTAATACTCCAATTTAGTGTGATTGAATTTTTGATCAAATTTAAAAATGCCACAATTTTATGATAATAATTAACGATAAAATTATTGGAATGTGTTAACCTATCTTTTACTTGTTCGACATACGTGTAATATAATTTTTCTGATTTATATTTGTACGTAACTTCTAAACAGATGGAGCAATAAATTTTCATAACAAATATTCCTTGGAAAAACAACATTGACGTTATACTTTGGCCTGAAATTTTTATTCCAAATTTGAGACCATACATTTTTTTTTCTTCGTAGCAAAGCTGAGACGTAGAAAACTTAAAACACCCCGTACAACTTATGATAGTTTTTTAGTTGTTTATCTCTACTGCTGCCATGTCGACGTCTTTCAGGCTTTCGACAACCGATGTTGAAATCTAAAGTTCTGAAAATAGCCAGTTTCAGTTCAGATACGGTCGAAATTGAATCCAAATCGTTAATAACGACACTATTGTCTCAACGTTGTTATGTTTAACAACATTAATTCATAAACTCATTGTAAATAAAAAGGAGAATTATCTTAAATAACTTTATCGTGAAAGCAATTATCATTGTTCTTGTTTACCAAAATAAAAGTACGGAACAGTACAGCGAAATTGAATTATAAGGCCAGCATTGTTTTTAAACGGAATGAACTAAGTTTTATAGTGAAATGTCTGATAAACTAGCTATTTTGCCACGGCTACAAGGAGTAGAAAAAAGTATCTGGTAAGTAGGCGTGTTATTTTAATTTTTTATAGCACAAAAATTAGCACAGCTTGTTTGAATGCTAGAAATTATTTTTTTTGCAAATGTAAATAAGGAATGGAAATTGCAGTTGATTTAATAGAAATTCATAATAAGTTTATCCAAACTTGATTAAAAATATTGAAAATGTAGTATCAAATCATTAATTTTATTTTAATAGTTATATTGCAACAAAAATGTTTTCTTCCTGAATGAATATTTGTTCGCAAACTGTTACTGATAAGTAGAGCAACATCACGAATGAAAAACAACTTTATGTTATAGTCTTTCCGAAGTCAGTTGAACATGTATAAAAAAAAACAAGCAATCAAATTTAATGAGTTTCATAGGCGTCCCTAAGGGACTGCTAAAGGTAAAAAATTATAATAATTTGTATATAATGTGTAGAAAATTTCTGTTATATGTTTATGTCCTCAAACAATTTTATTATATTGATGGTAAATTTCGTTTTGTTCCGTTTCAAAAGGTCTCCAAAATGCCATGTTGTAATAATATTAGTAAATCAAATATCCCTCTTATTTTTCTCTGAATGATTAATAGAAGGGTGCCTATAATAAATTAAAATTATTTGAATCACACCAAATTCCGCATTGCTGCACTGCACTGCCAGGTGACTTGTCGACAACTGAAATTTATGACGCAGTGAACCAGAACAACAATGCGTATTGCTGTTTGCCCGCACGCTCATTCTTCAACTGAGCGTATACATTTCTACCACCTGCACGTTTCGTTCGACCAGACGGCTATGGCTAAATAAATATGGGAACAAGTTTTTCAAATATTTCAATGCCGAGTTGCTGTGACAACGACCGAACTTGGTACATACTGTCATCTTGTTGGTGCTTCAATTGATATCGGAAAGACTATACCTGTTGATATTTTTTAAGTGTGATGTTAGAACAAAAATACAAGATATTTCCTTGAAAGATTACATTATTTAACAATTTCAATATGCAAGGTATGTGTAATTAAATTTATCATTTTAAATTTTTATTTAGGTAAATAATTTATTATATTTATGATATAATTCAACGTTAGTTGGAGTATATAGCTTACAGAGTAGTTGGGGTTGGATATCTTTTGTATGGTTTTTGGCTTTATTTGATATTCCATTTAAATTTTAGACTTTTTACTTTATTTAGAATACAATAATACATACGAGGTCTGTCCAGAAAATAAGCGAACTTTACATTTTTAGACTTTATTATTAACTTTGTACATTATTGGTCCTTGTCTCCTTCAAAGTACTACCCTCTCCTATTCACACACTGTTCCAAGAGCGCCGCCAAGGGGGCAGCTGCCTCTTTCCAGAAATTCGAAAAAAGTACAAACATTTTCTAAAGCTAAGAAAATATTATAGACTGAAAATTTTTAATAAAATATTTTATTTAAACTAATTTTGAAAATTAATACACTAGGTTATTTTTTAAAAAAGCAATTGTAATAAATTGGTATGTATAANTTTTAACGCATTTAGAAAAGAGAATAACTATTTTTCTGCTTTTGAAATATATATAATTATAATATTTATACAGAGTGGATCTTAAAAATGTACATACATTTTAATTGTAACTTTATTTTTTTAAATTATATCATTATTATTAAATTATATTTTATTATAATCCGTGATCACCGCAGATTCCAACGAAACTGTGCGTAAATTCATCAAAGATCAACAAAAATCTTAACTGAAATTTATGAAATTGGAATTGAGCATCTCAAAAATATCAATTTATCGCATTTTGGCTGAATATTCGGGCTACCGAAAAGTGTGTGCACGGTTTGTTCCGCATAAGTTGACTGACGACCAAAAATTGCTCAGATTTCAACATTCCAAGGACATCATCAAGAACAAAAATTTCCGTTACAATACTGTGACGTGATTAAACGCAGTGTTTTCAATATGATCCAGAAACCAAGCGCCAAAATGCCGAGTGGATGGCGCCAAACAAACCAAAACTCAAAAAATCTCGTTTGGAGAAGTCAAAAGTGAAGACAATGTTGATTTGCTTTTACGATTCCAAGGGCATTGTTCATAAAAAGTTCATTCCATCGGGCTAAACCGTTAAGGCACACGTTTATCTTGGCGTTTGGAAGTGTTTCGTGCATCGTATTCGTCGTATTCGGCCAGAATGTCGATTGTTTGTCCAAAAATAGCATTTTAACTGTCAACCACTCCCAGTATCCGCCTGATTTGGCATCGTGCGACTTTTACCTTTTCGGAAAAATGCCTTTGCCGATGAAAGGAAAGCGTTATGTGGACGTAAAAACTATCCAAAAGGCTTGTACCGACATCCTGAAGGACATCCGACTTTTTATTGTTCTTATTTTTAAAAAGTCCTGTTTATTTGTATGAAAATGTCGCGGCGCTAGCCGAACGCGAGTGTTGCAATTTAAAGGAGTGTGTAAATGGTATTTTTCAAGTCTGCAGAAATTACTTACGTACTTAATTAGGTACTGAAAAAAAAATGTTTTTATTGATAGCAGTTTTTGTTAATTGTACCAGATAAATATTAGATTAGATTGAACATTTTTAATAAAATATTTTATTTACTTAAACTTTAATTTTGAAAATTAATACACTATTTTATTTTTTTAAAAAACAATAATTGTAATAAATTAGTATAAATATTTCTTGACAAAAGAATTTAAAAATATATAATTTTATGTTAGAAAGTAATAGATTTCCATATTTTAAAAATTTAGATCGGGAATTTTAAATTAAAAAAATAAATTTTTATCTATCGGATTCAGAATAAAAGTTTAACAGTGTGCAACTAAAGTTATATGTAACGCACCAATTTTATATAGGGGGAATAAAGAACGTTTTTAATTTTTAGCTTATTTCTGACAACCATGAAGATTTTATTAGTGGTCGACAAATTTTCAAAAAATCCGAGATTAATTTTCGTTGAATTTCTTAATTTTTTTAGTTATTTATAAATATTTTTTGTTTTTCTTGTATTAAAAAGTTTTATCAAAAATATTTCTAAAAAAATTAATTCACTGTATCCATTTCTATATCTATTTCAAAAATCGTCACTAACACTTAAACACATTACACTCAAATAACAATATCACGAAAACTAAATGAGATATCAATAAATCCAAGAATATATGGTTACAGAGCAGGTTATGCGCAAGCGCAACGCCATGCTGGCAACCGCATATCACTAAATACACGTATCTCCATTAGCGCGTAGGTAATTCAAAGAGTTCGGTTATTTTCTAAACAGACCTCGTATCAATTTGTGTAGTACTGTTAATTGACTCTTTGTACATTTAATTAATTAATTCTAGGAAGGAATATGCCGAATTAGCTGAAAAATATAAACCTCTAAACTTAGGCTTAGGATTTCCAGATTTCTCTCCTCCGAAATTTGTCACAGACGCTCTGAAAGAAGTTTTGAATAGAGACGATCCACTTTTGCATCAGTATTGCAGGCCAACTGTAAGTCGTTAAATTTATTCTCTTGAATTGTATTACATAATTTTAACTTGAAAGGGCCACCTACATCTGGTAAACGTACTCGCGAAGTTGTATACCAAACTGCTGAAGAGAGATGTGGATGCAGAAACAGAAATTTTGATCACTCTGGGAGCAAGTGAAGGACTATTTTGCGCTGTTACTGGACTAGTTGGCGACGGAGATGAGGTCATTATCATAGAGCCTTATTTTGATGTGTATGTTCCATTGATCAAAATAGCTGGAGGTGTGCCAAAGTTCGTTGCACTGAAACCGGTAGGTTTGTAGTAAACAGTATGTATACTCGTAAATTTACATTACACCGCAGTTTTTCCATGTGTACTTCAGGAACTGTAAATTTACTTTTGGAAGGAGTTATTTTGTATATCTTATTCCATTTCAGAAAATTTTATATTACAGAGAAAGTCAGAAAACATCATTTATACTTCAGAAAGCGTCAGATGGATCTTAACCAAATAATAATAATTATCAGAGCCGGGTGTGAATTCGGAAAAGGTATTCAGTCCATGAATACTGATACTCTGTTGAAAGTATTCATGAGTACCGAATACAGCATTTAAAGACCTACCATTTACGTACTCGAATCCAGAATACTTGCATTCAAGTAATCACAATATACTACGAATACAATGTTGAATACTTAAAGTAGGTACATTAGAGATTAAAGACAAAAAGTATTGTTGTATCAAAGATACAAGTACGATGTTCCTGAGGTAGACAAAAAGAAACTATTGTTGTAACAAATATGTTTAATTGTAAGTAGAAATATGAAATGAGGCACTTTATGTCAGAAAGTTTATCTTTAAATATTAAATATCTTAAGTAAATATTTGAATATTGTACAAAGTACAAAGTAGATGATTGGATATTTTTGAATTGAGGAAAAAAAAAAGGTTTCAACTTCATACATCTACTGCAGCATATATTTTTGATAAAATTTTTACTGTTTTTTTCTTCCGTGCGGTTGCCCAAACACAGTATGAATAATTATATTAGTTCATAATTTAAAATTTTTAAAATATTCTTCTGGTAAAGGAGATACGAGTATAGTTATTTGTTCGTATGTTTATTTCAACTTGATACTTGACTTATTCAAAAAAATGTAGGCGTTTTCTTATTTTTTTTTATTTACTGTAAGTGATTGCAAAGTTAGAGCAATTATTTTATTCATTGAAACAGATTCAGGAAGTTTAGAATAGTGTAAAATCAAGCCTTTCATCGTGTATTTTAGGAGCAATACCATTCACATAATCATTTTCATAGCCATAATACAAGTGCATCAATCCTTGAACATGGTCACATATCTCATTTTACATTTTTGAAATACAATAACTTAACTACAATATAAATTTTCTGGAATAAAATCGGTTTGAAATACGATATACCTACGTTTTCTAAAATATGTAGATATGTGCTGTAATTTATGGACATTAGAAATAAAAGAATTGTAAAATTTGAATAACATAATCATATCCGATTAATTAAATAAAATGTATACAGGGTGTAAGAAGTTTGACTGCCATTACTTCGACATGAGATAGAGTATATTACAGGGGCGTAAGATTAACACTTTTCAAAATACAGCGAGTATTAATATTAGGGAGTTTCACCACTACGTGACAGAAGCGTTTAATTTGCTGCTGCACACCACGTGTACACGGGGCAGACTTGTCCTACGGAAAAAATTTAAACAGCTATTATTGTGGAACATTTAGTAAATTTCAAGACAATTGTTTTCCCGTTTTTAAATAAATAAAATTAAATGTATCGATTTTGTAGTATGAAGATAGTATTGTGCTTAAATTTTAGCTTGAATTTTAGTAATTACGAATCTCTTAAAGCAGGAACTTAACTTTTAATCAAATTACCTATTTGAAAAATATGTTAAAGTACCCAAAGATTCACGTCGTCCAAATAATCGTATGTATTAAAAATAATTTAGGTACTTACCAATAAACAAAATGCGGTAATTTTTAAACGCACAAGTACAAAACAAACTACAATATATGCTCAAAATGTCCACCACCATTTTCGATGCACGCACGACACCTTCGAATCCAATTTTCGCGCACTTGCTGGAAAACACCTCAAGAAAAGGAAATAGTTGTATGCAAAAAACACTCCGACACGGTCGAATCCAGATACCAACTGAATTGCGTTTTGGTGTTTGCTAGACACCTTAGTACCTCGTGTTAATAAACAGCTCGATATGAATTTTATCAAATTTTTTTATTACAACGCTAATTATTTTTTAGAATTAAGCATAAAAGAGTCAAAAAAGTGGTAACCATTTTATTTTATGGTATTCTATGCCCGCAGTTATGTCAATATTCCTTAATTAATCGAACTTTTGTACATCAAGTTGGAGATTTTAATAATTTTTTTTCTCTGAAATGATTGAGTTTATGAGCCATGTCATATAAGGTTTTTTGTTTATTTCAATGTATTATATCGTCTGTTAAAATAATCTACATACAAATAAACAAGTAAATTGCGTGTTCCCGTATCAAATTAATATTTATTTTATATAATATACATGCTGTTACAAATTCGCTTCTCACTACAGGGATCTCGAAAACGGTAAGAGATGCTTTTTTCCTTCTATCGAATGGCATAATCAAATTTTATATGTAACGTTTCGTCTTTCTAGGACCATCATCAAAATCATTTTTTTAAATACGACCCTGGAAATTTCATTACATTTTTTGCAAGCCTTCATGACCCCCAATACTGTACTGCCTCAGCCCGAACCAGATTCAGACGTTTTGTCTCGAAAAATTTGTCTTCATTGTATTCGTTCCAAATTTATCTAAATTTTTTATTTAGATTTCTTTGTTCGACACTCTAAGTGTCGTTAGACCCTGTGAAATACATTTAGTCATATAAACTATTACCACCACGCATTTTGAGATCCCTGTAGTGAGAAGCGAATTTGTAACAGTCTGTATAAGTTGTATTAGACAACTGATTCTTACATATTTTTTCAGAAAGATAATTATTTGCATTATTCCAAGGCATAAATGTAACTCATTGTATATGGCTTTGTAAATATTTGCTTCTGTCTGTGATTGTGTTAAAGCCTAAAGTAAAGAATGAAGCAATTATTTTAATAACCATTCTTCTAATTTTAGAAATCAAAATCTGATGGGATTTCTAGTTCTGCAGATTGGGTTTTTGATCCGAAGGAATTGGAAAGCTTATTTAATAATAAAACCAAGGCTATTATCCTGAACACTCCCAACAATCCCTTAGGAAAAGTATTTGATTTGTCGGAATTGACTTTAATAGCCGATTTGTGCAAAAAGTGGAATGTTCTGTGTATATCTGATGAGGTGTACGAATTTATGGTATATAAACCAAATGAACATATTAGAATAGGTATATAGATAATAGAAATACACATTATTTTTCAATTCTTACTCCCTGCAGAAATAGTCAAGATATATGTCTGTGAAATTACATTTGCTGACTTAACTTTTCAAATTTTTAGATGTAAAAAATATTTAAAATTTGTATACTTTTTCGTATATAATTTTAAATGTCGCTTTACTGGTACTTTTTAACATAAGGGTTTCTCTTTCTTATCTATTAGATTGTATTTTTAAAACTTTTTAACTTCAAGTGTGCCTTTTAGCATCTCTACCCGGGATGTGGGAAAGAACCGTAACCATTGGATCTGCAGGGAAAACCTTCTGTGCAACAGGTTGGAAAGTGGGATGGGTATATGGATCTGCTAATTTATTAAGATCCTTACAAATTGTTCATCACTATTCAGTATATGGTGGAAGCACTCCTACTGAAGTAAATATCATAACGAATTTGTTCACTGGATAAAAGATACTTTAGTGCAAAAGTTGTACATTTCTTTTATTTCAGGAAGCCATAGCTATAGCAGTGGAACAGGAATTATCCCGTTTTGGGGAGCCAGATTCTTATTTCGTCACGTTGCAAAATGAATTAAAGGAAAAACGAGACTACATTGTAAAGAAACTTTGTGAAGCTAATATGAAACCCGTAGTTCCTGATGGGGGATTTCTTATAATAGCAGACTGGTCTCAATTAGGTAACCTATTATACAGGGTGTGGCGTGTATAATCTGTAAAAATTAAACTACAGCTTCCTAACGATATTTGTAATAGAAAAGTCTTATGCGAAAAAGTTCTATTTTTCCGCTTTTTTTTTGGTAAATTAAAGTTCAATTATGGATCAAAATATTTTCTCTGGAATGGTCCTGTTCGTGTGCTGTGCGATGAGTTACTTGCTGTAGACCAGCCGCGTAAACAAATCGTCGTTGAAAGATAGAAAGATACTTATCAATTTTTGGTGAATTTTTCAATGCAAAAATATAAAGAAAAATAGATATTAAAGAAAACTGATATTTTCTTATAATAACACAGCCACACAAAAAAAAGTTAGGTATACTTTTTATGCGACATATATTTTTCGTAGTAATTTGGTCTCCTGAACACGAATCTGGGATCAGAATTGGCCCATCACGTCAAAATTTTCTCCTAACCTCAAAAAACTTGTGAAAATAGTAAAAATTGATGAAAATTTGCTGGGAAAATTTGGAAAAAAATTTGGAAAAAAATTTATTTCCACATCAAATAGTACATTTTTATGTAAAAGACTGCTGAATTCAAATCCACTGTCAGAATTGAGCTAGCACGTGTGGTTTTTTTTCTAACCTCAAAAAACCGAGCAGGAATCGCCAATTCTGAGCAGATTTTGTTTAAAGGGGTTTTTGGGTCGCTGATTACGAATATGATTTCACATTGTAAAAATTCAAGATGGCTGATCCAATATGGCGGGTGTACTTTTTTGAAATCCACACCGATTTCAGTAAAATTTGGCATCATAAGGATTGCTGGTTGACCTCACCTTCATTAATCATACATCTGGAGCCAGATTTTCTGGTGGAATCAAATTTGTAGGCAGTCATAATTTTAGGCCGAGTAGGCGGCATTTTTTCGGCAAAGTCACATTTTTAGATTGAAGGCATAAGCAGATGCAGTGATATGCTGTGTGGCAGTAATGTGTCCTTCTCCTTGAACTTTAAAATTATTAAGAAATAAAAGCATCTAAATGCCATAGGAAAACTGCACAGTAATTAAAAAAATCTGATTGGAAAACCATAAGCCCATGCACGACTAAATAAATGAAAGAATAAAGTAGAAACTTTTTTGTCTTGTCCCATGGAAACAAGCAAATAACCTTACACATCATTACATGTGTAGAGTCCTTAAGTCATTTTTTTTAAGCGAAGTCACATTTTTAGACGGAGTGGAATCTTTTACCTTGATTTATGAAAATCTGGCTCCAGATGTGTGATTAATGAAGGTGAGATCAACCAGCAATCCTTATGATCAATCCAAATTTTACTGAAATCGGTGGATTTCAAAAAAGTACACCCGTCATATTGGATCAGCTATCTTGAATTTTTACAATGTGAATTCATATTCGTAATCAGCGACCCAAAAAACCCTTTTATACAAAATCTGGTCAAAATCCGCTCAGAATTTGAAAATAGCGATTCCTGCTCGGTTTTTTGAGGTTAGAAAAAAAACCACAGGTTCTAGCTCAATTCTGACAGTGGATTTGAATTCAGCAGAGTCTTTTACATAAAAATGTACTATTTGATGTGGAAATAAATATTTTTCCAAATTTTCCTAGTAAATTTTCATAAATTTTTACTATTTTTCACAAGTTTTTTGAGGTTAGCAAAAAATTGTGACGTGATGGGCCAATTCTGATCCCAGATTCGTGTTCAGGAGGCCAAATTACTACGAAAAATATATGTCGAATAAAAAGTATACCCAACTTTTTTTTTGTGTGGCTGTGAATTAATAGTAATTACTATCTTAAATGTATTGCTGTTAGTGCAAGAGTTTGCAAACAAAACCACACCCGTAAGCGTCTGTAGTTGTCAACTGCGTGCACTAAACAAGCTCCATTAAAATATGGAACAAAATGAAATAAAACTTACCATTTATAGAGAAAATGTTCAAATTGATCCCCATTAGCGCGGATACAGGCATGGCACCGACACACCCAGTCCACTTGATTGGCACATTGCCGTAAAAACCGTCTGCAAAAACGGATTCGTTGATCACAATACGGGGGTAAAATCTGTTGAACTGGTTGCACATGATAGGAATGCAACAGCTGGCGCTTTAAGATGCAATGTATGGTACGAGATAAGGTTCCTACTTGCTGTGCGAGTCGTCGAGTACTAATTGTGGGGTCTTCGTCAAGATTTTTCAACACTGCATCTTCAACATTAAGGTTCACTTACTGACCACGTCCTTCTCATCGAGAAATAACACTTCCCGTATCTCGGAGCCGTTGAACCGTAGAATTGTATTTGCACATAGGAGGTGACGTTGTGGCCATCGTTCCTCGTAAAATCTAGTCGCCGAGAGCGCATTTTCTCCGGCTGCACCATACACTAACACCATATCGACACGATTGTTTTCTCGGTTAATTGTAAAACTAGTTTGTGTACAAACTAAAAAATTAAGCAAAGTAAGAAATAAGAATCTCGTTTTTAATGTAATCGGCACGCTATTCCTATTTTTAACTTATTTATAAAAATTACAGTCGCTATCGTGGAATTACAAAATAAAAACTTTTGTCTGGAATATTTCACTTTTTAACACTGATGGGTCGATGGACGATGCTTAATATTTAATAATTAAGTGAATAATGAATTCAATAGATACTAATACAAAATCAGTTGACTTCAAAAATTTTTTGACAATGTAACTTAACCTTTTTTTAGTATTACTAGTATATTTCTAAAGTTTTTAATAAATAACACAGAATCGGCCTTCATTTTCGTTGAATAAATGAACTTTAATTTACAAAAAAAAAAACGGGAAGATAAAACTTTTTCGTATAAGACTTTTCTATTACAAATATCATCAGGAAGTTGTAGTTTAACTTTTATAGATTATACACGCCATCCCTGTATTTGTGTTTTATTGTTTTGCCAGTTTTCCAAATATGTATATCCAAAACATTGTCCATCAATTGCAAGCATTATATAATTTTGTGATTTCAGAATCGCGCATAAACTTAAGCTCGGAGAAAGGTGAGAATAAAGATGAGCGATTTACGAAATGGTTGATAAAAAACATTGGACTTGGAGGAATACCACCATCAGCATTCTATAACGAAAAAAACAAGGAAGTAATCGAAAATTATGTACGATTCTGTTATATTAAAGTGAGTTACCAAGTTTCAATATCAAAGTTATCTACAAAACAATAATTTTGATTTCAGAAACAAGAAAATTTGGAGAAAGCTGCCGAATTGTTGAAAAAATTGAATAATTAAAACTACCTAAACAGTTGATACCTTTATTCTGTTAATAAAATATCTCAAAATGTTTAAACAATTTTTATGGAGAAAAATCTCCACGAAGCCACCTTTTCGCGTCCCTCGTGTCGTTGCCATAGGTCTTGCCATATCTAAAAATAATGAAATCAATGTTATATTACCTTTCAAAAAATACATTTTACTGTTATATAAAAAATAGGAATTAAGAAATAAAGCGAAATAAATAGTTTAGTTTGAAAGTGTTTAAAGATGCTTGGATAATTTCTTCAAGTTCAGAGTTTTTCTGAGGAAAGGCGATATACAGCGTGTCCCACTAGTGCGGGAAAGTCCAATATCTATGTTAAAATGAGGAATATATGTAATTTTCTTTTTACTGTTGCCACATTTTTCGGAATGTACAAATTAAAAATATATTCAACTATACAGGGTGTTCCACTTTTCCTGGACAGACACCAACTTTGGTTTTTTAAATGGAAACACACATTTTTTATATTTTTTTCGGATTCTACATCAAAAATAAATGGTACTTTGTGTAGAATAGTTCTATTCAAATATTCACAGTTTTTGAGATATCTCGCTTGAAAGGTTTTTCTAGTCGATATTGGTTGCTTACATTTTCTGATACTGACAGGTTATACTAATAGCTACTAAGCCCATTTTTTTATCAAATGTTTAGTAAGGATGATTCTTCCGAATCATGCTCCAAAAACTGGCCTGCGTTATACAGGGTGACCAAAATATCATGTCAAAATTGCCAATTGAAAAATTGAAAAATCTCGATTTTTTAAATGCAACGCTCTGTATCCGAGATATCTCAAAAACTGTGAATATTTGAATAGAACTATTCTACACAAAGTACCCTTTATTTTTGATGTAGAATCTGAAAAAATATAAAAAATGTGTGTTTCCATTTAAAAAACCAAAGTTGGTGTCCGTCCAGGAAAAGTGGAACACACTGTATAGTTGAATATATTTTTAATTTGTACATTCCGAGAAATGTGGCAACACAGTAAAAAGAAAATTTCATATATTCCTCATTTTAACATAGATATTGGACTTTCCCGCACTAGTGGGACACGCTGTATATCTAGAAATATCAAAAGATCTAAAAATTAAACAAAGTTAAAAGATATAAACAAATTTTTCTACTAAAAAGAAACAACTGTTACGATCGATCCTTATCTGAGGCTTATTTATTGGATGGTGATTTAATAACCACCAAACCAGATCGACAGTCTTCAAAAGTTCCAATTTAGAACGTCCTATCCGTCTATATCCAAGTATTTTATCGACCATAATCATAATTCTTATTTATGTTTAATGTTTTTTACCTGAATATCGCACCGGGTATGTGACCACCGTAATTGGGGAGCTGCCCTATGTGTCTGTGATAAATTTCAGCAGGCTGTATCAGTAATGGTGGCTCGGGCCTATCAATCTGAACAGGGGCCCATTCATTGCTCAACCTCTTTCTATAGGACGATGTGAAATCGCATAGGGCGCTGTTTGTCATTTGCTGATTGGTTTTGCCCAGCGTGGCGTAACCAAATGGCACATGTCCGGTGAAACCTGCAAAAATATGTTATTCTTTATCTACCTTCATTAAATTTTGCCTTTGCTGCATTTTTATTTTCAAATTTTGGGTCCATATTAACAGTAATTCTTGAGCCAAAACGTCTTAGGAACACAGAAGAAAAATGTGCAATTTAGATGTCGAAAGTTTAAGCTTACGATGACTTTTTACTTTGAAACAGAAGACCACAAGAAACGAAAATTTCCTATAGGGTTAGGACTACGTCAATCACTTTATTGCAGATGAGATCAGCATTGGATAAGGTGGTAAAACATTATGCCGAATTGATAGCATAACAATTCCTTCCTAACTAGTTCATAAGAATCATCCTTGGTATTTCATTGATATTATTTGCATGTTTTTTTCTTTCACCACTAATTTCTTTAACCTTTAATCTTAGAGCATATACTACATGGAGGAAGCAACGCACGTTAAAAGGTGCAGATGCTGTAGAGAGAAAAGGCGATAGTTTGGGTACTCGCTCTCTCTCTCTAATCGTTGAGGAAGAGTGGGGAGATTCCGTCCTTCGCCCAATCGGCGGCGAGCGTTAGCCAATCACGTGCCTGCACAACAGAGTAAAATAGTACCTATCCAAACTATTTCTTTCTCTCTCTTTCACTCGTAAGCATGCTTCCTCCATGTAGTATATGCTCTTAAGTCCTCAATTGTCCCAATCGCTAATGTCAATTTGACGGAATACTAAAATTGAATTGAAATGTCAATATCAATGACAACGACAGATGTGGGATATTGTGTATCATGAAACGTAACATTCTAATGAAAGCAATAATTCTAAAACCACATTATTTTTACATTTTTGTGATACACTGACATTACTTCTTTCCTACATTTAATCAGTATTTACTTACGTTTTCCCGGGCCTGCTGTATATCTGTGCTGTTGCAAAAACGAGTTATACAACCTGTCGTACATTGTGAATCGTTAAATGTTTCGATATAGCATTTACTTGATCAACAAATAAAATAATTAGATATATGCACATAACGGTTATACTGAATAAAATTTAAGTGGCATTCTGACACTTCTGACATTTGAAGAAAAAAAATCTATCTGTAAAAAAAAACTATAAAGCCTCTAAATACTGGATAGAATAATACCAAACTGCGAACAATTTCAACAACTAAAGGGTGTACCAAAAGTAATGCAGAATTTGAATTGTATACCAGTTTTATTACGAAGAGTTGGCAGCATTGTGCAGGGACACCCTTTGCAACATTTTATTTAGTTGCTGAATTTTACAGTTTTTTAGGATTTTTACCAGTTTGGTTTGGTTTACCATTATTGTTTATATTAGGTTGTTCTTAGGTTTGTCGTATAAATTTAACTTATGTTTATGTTATTATAGTCACCTGATTTCAAGTATTTTTCAGTATCTGTGTTGTCAGAGAAATACGGGCTTAGGGAATGGGTCGGTGGCGTTAGACAAGGTTCTGGTACTAGCAAATTTCGCAAAAACCCTGAACATTCTGGCCTCACTTCCAACAAAGGCAGCTTGAACTGACTAGTGGTCAACTAGAAAGTATTTTTACAACTATTAATACGCCGCCTCTTTCTCCACACACATCGTTGATCTCGAAGCCAGTTTTGTAAAGAAAGAAAAAATGGAATTATATTTTAAAGAATACTTACAGTTTTGTCGTCTAATGTTTTTGGATCCCACTTATTATCTTGGAGGTAACCGATTTTTGTTATCTGATTCTGAGCGATTCTGTTAGAATTTTGGAGTTTCTCAAAATCGGCCAAAGCTTCAGTGGCCTGGACGGTGTAAGTTTGTCCAAATTTTCCATGTTCCTTGGGCACGAATCCTGCAACGAACAGTTGTGCCTATAGATATTTATCTCACAGTTAGGTACTTGATTTACCTTCATAACCAGGTACTATGGGATGCTTGTATATGGTGTCTCCATGTCTATCGTTCACTATATCGATGTCTCTGATAGATGGTCGGAACGACTTAAATTATAACAATATTTAGTTAAAAATAAGTTTTTTTTTGTATTGCTTACATTAAAATCATCTGCTGTCCTATCGGACAGCACGAGCTTTTCAGCATGGTGTACTGTGGGATCCAAAAGTACTTTGTGAGTTGTGGTGCCATAAGTATCTCCTAATCTATATTTATACTGGGGGCAAAAGCCAGTGTATCTGAAGATGCAAAACCAATTAACAAACAGTTAACTTAAGTATGTGCAATTTTCTTCTCATTAGAATCTATGGTTTGGTTTTATGCATGGTTTCTTGTTGGTTTTGGGGAAAGTAGGTATCATAAGGAAGTAATTAATATTAATTATAATAACTATAACTCAACATTTTTTTTAGCATGAAGTAATTAGATATGCATCATGGCAGTAATTACTTAAAATTATTTGGTTAATGGTACCTACCAATGAGTTGTTTGTTTATATATCTTCATCGAAACTATAACTTTTATGCGCATTTATTTGCAGCAAACAAATAGTTTGATAAATCATCTTACAGTTTTCTAATATATTAAAAAATGTAAATATTTTACTGTTTTCAGCCTTACCCTGGAATAAAGTGTGGACTGGGGGATGATATTAGTTCCATCACTAAATTTTTTCGTGGGACTCACGAATATAAATTTTGCTTAACTAATAATTTTATTCCCAATTACCCACCGTCATAACGTCATAACTGTCAATATAACAAGTTTTTGATTGATACTGCGTCACATTACATTGTTTACTACCTGTCGTTATGTTGTCATGGCTACAACTAAAATAGATTCCGTTCTGTTTATACTTTACAAATGGAAGGTTATTAGATGGACTTATAAATTTTTTTATCAAAATAGTAAAACTGAATAATAAAAAAAAATTAAAAGTTACGAAACTTATAAAATGTATACCACTTTATTTTAACGATGGGATACAAAAGTAAGAAATGCAATAATTTTAATTCGTAGAAAAATGTACTTATTAACTAACAAAATAAAATAATATTACATAATTGTATACTGTGTAATTAATGTGTGCTAAAAGTTACATTACCTATATAGATGGGAATTTCTCAAGAAGCAATAACAGGATTACAAGAATAATGAATTGCAATTAATTGTTTCATTTATTTATAAATTATACAATTTAGTATTATATTTAGCAAGTATTTCTTAGAGCTTTTATAATTTAAGTTGTATCAAATTACTAATAACATGATGAATCTGTACTAAGTGAAAAACCAGTTCCCTTTCCACATACAAAAAATGTTTCATCAGTGTCATAGCTGTCGAAATAAAAATAATTAGAAAGTAATTTCCATAAATAATAATGATGATATTCATAAATATACCCATGAAAAATGTTATGTATCTACACTACAATATAAATAATAATACGATAGGTAACACATTTTTAAAACCGCAATTTTCAGAAAATTATTAAAATAATGTATCAGTGGACTGTATTTTTTTCACAGAACCATATACAAGGTAAAAAGGTTTGGCTCAGTGGAACGAACTCTTTGTGGACAATGCCCCTGGAATCGCAAGAGATTTTTTGAGTTTCGTCTGGCACCTTCCACTTGGCATTTTTGTCGCTCGGTTTCTGGATCATATTATTAGTTTTTGCCTTTTTTGGTCTTCTTGATGATGCCCTTCCAATGCTGAATTCTGAACAATTTTTTGTCGTCAATCAACTTGTGCGGAATAAACCGTGCACATACTTTTCGATAAGTCCAAATGTTTTTGAGATGCCAATTCCAATTCCATGAATTTCAATGAAGATTTTGGCTAATTTTTGATGATTTCAGGCACAGTTTAATGGAAGTGATCACGGATTTCGGTTGGCCAACATGTTGCTCATCATTTATATCCTCATGACTGTTTTTAAACCGCATATCCCACTCATGAACTCTACGGGATAAACAATCATCGCCATAAACTTGGTTCATCTGTTGAAACTTTTTTATAAAAATTTTACCGAGTTTCAAACAAAACTTAATATTAGCTCTTTGTTCGATGCTCATTTTTGTGACGATGACACAGACGCGATAACTTTGCTTCTAGTAATCCAAATGTCATGAAATTTTTACAGTACATCAGTGAAGGATCCGCCTTTCCGACGAATGTAATTGCCTCTCACTAAAAGTATCTATTTTTGAAAATTCCTGTTCAATTTGAAACGCACCTTGTATTTATTGCCCTACAATAATTTAATTACAGATACATATTTATAAAAAATATCAAGGAAGCCACAGAAATATATTTGAGGTTTTATCATAATGTGTATTTTATTAGGTACTTCGTTATATGTAAATTCCAATTTATTCAAATTTAAACAAGTAATCTCCTCTAATGACGGTTGAACTAAAATAAGGACTTGAATTTCTATAAGTTTATATAATAATTTGCCGAAAACACGCAATAACAGTTTTGCAGAAGAATCATATTCTTTTCTAAAGTCCGAAAAAGTAGCTATGTAACAGCGTCAAGAAGGCCTTGCAATTGTATTAGTACAATGTCGATACATAAGATTTTACAAAAGCACAGCACATTCTTATCGCATCCAATTACACCAAGAGTTACTAAAAGTAGACTTTCAACGGAGACTGGAGTTTTGTCAGTGGGCACTTGAAACGTTAAATCAAGATGATGATTTTTTTAAACGGGTCATGTTCTCCGATGAGGCTACTTTTCATAAAAATGATTTCATTGATAGTCATAATTGCCATTATTATGACACAGTAAATCCTCAGCAATTCCGAACAACTTATAACCAACGATAGTCTTTGAACGTGTGGGAAGCAATTTTGGGAACCCATGTCAGTGGACCATTCATTCTTGACCAGCATCTAACTGGAGCAGTTTATTTAAACTTTTTAACAAACACTCTAGAAGATTTGTTAGGGGACATGCATTTAGCTACACTTCGAAGAATGTGGATGCAACACGATGGTGCTCCACATCACAATATCGCTGCGGTTCGTCAGTTTTTACACGAAACTTTTGCCAACAGATGGATTGGGCGCGGGGGACCAGTGAGTTGGCCTTCAAGGTATCCAGATATGACAAGTTGCGACTTATTTTATTTATAAAAAGCAAAGTTTACGTTACACCACCAACTACCGCGGATATATGTGGCAGCGCATTAGAGTAGCATTTCAAGAAATTACGTTAATCAAAATGGAGGACACTTCGAGCAATTGATGTAAATCAGCAGTCTAAGTACCTATTCTTCTTGACGCTGTTACATAGCTACTTTTTTGGACTTTAGAAAAGAACCTGATTTTTCTGGAAAACTATTAAATATAAGTATGGACAACCTTATACCAGTCGAAAGGGCATTCAATTTTGCATTCATCCTTGACAATTAATATGGGTCATTCCATTTGAAAAAAAAAAGCTTTTCAACTTGTAAGATTATTAAATGTAGGTCTCAGTATTTCCGAGTCTGAATAACGTACACGTTTTGCTCACAGATGACAAGATAGAGTAATTTATGCCAAAACGAACTGTGAAAACTACAGGTTTCTAGCTCTTACGGTTTAAACGCTATCTGGCCTCATTTAGAGAGCTGAAATTGTGATTTTCTTCAAAAACAACTGAATATCTCAAAAACGGTAAGTTTTAAACACCATGTGCATTTAATAAACTTTACATAATATTAACCTAGGAATTCAAAAAAACAATAATATACAGGGTGTTCCATAGTTATGTAGCGCCCACGCGAAATGGGACACCCTGTAAAGCTAAAAATATTTTCTTTACATGATCCACATGATTCCAGGCAACTTTTATTAAAACCATTTTTATATAAATTTTACAGTTGCAGAGTTAAAGAAAAATCCATCTTAGGTGGAACACCTACTTCTAGTTAGTTTATTTATTTATTTATACATTTAAATAAATGAAATTCAATACATTTTCAGCCGTTATTCTCTTCAACAACATTATAGATAATGGTATAGATATTAAATTCTAGTTTTCTTTCTGTTACACTCTTATACGTAAAAATATATAGGTACCTATTTATTTTTTTTTCTAAAATTTTAACATTCATCTGTTCCCATGCGGAGATATTCAAGTATAGGGTGAGCTCTTGAAAACGAAACAGCGAATAACTCTTATTATTTATCGGAAAATTATTTTTCCGAAAAACGCCAAAACATTTCGATTTTTTATTGAAAAATCTTAATAGCGAAGGAGGGTTAAGATCGTTTGAACGGTATTCAAATTGTCTACACAACCTTGTTTTATTTTTTGAATTTCACCGATTTCATTTAATCCTTCTCTATTAAAATTTTTGGGGGTTGCACTCCCTCCCTAAGGGGGTACCGCCTGTAACAAGAAAATTATGTGAAAACATGTCCCCCTTCAATCAAAAATCGTCCTGTCTTGGCGTTATGAATATGAATATCTGTCTATTGTGTATATCTGTTTTCCTCATCAAACCTCATATACCTACCATCATAAATCGTAGACTCGTGATTATAGTGATTTTAAAATCGAGCCAAGATCACAGTTCTAATCACTATGACGCTTAATACGTTCATTAGGGTTATTAGCGTCAATTAACTTTTTTCTGTCTATATTTAATTCAGTTCTACGTAAAAATCTATGGCTTTAAACGAAGCAATGTCGATAACGCTGTTAAATTACATGATAGTATAATCTACTGCGGCGCCTAAGAATATTAAGATTATAGGTATATGATGTGGTTTAAAGAACAAAATAGGTTATTCGAATCAGGTTAATTATTTGAAGTAAAAAGTAGAACGGAAGGCTGATGTTATGAGACAAAGAAATATGATTCGGTGTTTAAACAATGCGAGAGAAATAAAATAGGTACTTGTAATTTTTTTTATATATTATATCGCTTTTTTAAATTAAATAAATTTATAACATATACATAATTCTATATTTATAAAAATTACTCTTCAGTCAATATTTATTTATTTAAGTAAAATTTAGAAAAATTATTTGACTAGGCTAAATCTTGATTGAAGAGCGATTTCATTAATTCAAAATTATCATGTGTTTGAATAGGTACACTAAATAATAGTATTCTTGATTCAAAACAATTAATTTCTTTCTGTGTATTTTGAAATCAGAAAAACGTACAGATCTAAAAATAGAAAAAAAAAGAGAAATTTATTCCGTTTACATAACTTGAACACTTTTTAAAAAA